GGGGGGTATTTGTTAAAGTCTAAGGGGTCGGGGGTGTGCAGGGCCCTGTCATACCCCACTTCCCCCCCCAAACCCCCGTAACCAGCAGCACTAGGCCCCGAAGCCTGGGTCTCGATTTTCCCCGCACGCACTCACCCTGCCGGTTCTCATGAAGCTGCTTCTCGAACTCGTCGAACTCGGACATGGGGGATTTATTTGTATATTCTTTTTATATATATATTTTTTTTATCCCGCTTCTCCTGCTCTTGGGGGTTGTGTGTTTTTTTTTCTCCCTTTATTTTTCTCTTTCCCTCCTTCCTCGGCGTGGCTCGAGCTGCTCCGGAGGGGGAGGGGAAGGGAGAAGAGGGGGACAGCACTGCGCAGGCGCCGACGCCGACGGTTCATTCCCGCCCCGCCCGCGCGAGTTGGGAGGACTCCACCGCCCGGAGGACCCGAGGCCGCGCCTGCGCGCTGCCGGCGGAAGGAACCACCTCCGCCCGGCTTGCGGGAGGACCCGAAGCCGCGCCTGCGCGCTGCCGGCGGGAGGAACCACCTCCGCCCGCCTTGGCGGGAGGACCCGAGGCCGCGCCTGCGCGCTGCCGGCGGGATGACTCCGTCCACACACGCCCCCCCACCCCAAAGCCGTGACCAATCGCAACCCCGCCCTTTGGGAGGTTGGGTTGTCGGGAGACATGGGCCAACGCCTGCGCACTGCGGGCTGGAGGACTCCCCGTGTCCGTTGCCACCGTCGCCCCCCGGGAATTGGGAAGGACCTGATGTGACGCATGCGCACTGCGGCGGGTGGGACCTCCACCTTCGTCCTTAACCCCCCACCTGGGGGAAGGGAGGGCCCGATGCCGCGCCTGCGCACTGTGGGTGGGAGGACTCGTCCCCGGAGCTGGGAGGACCAAGTGGAGGAGGAAGGGGTTGACTCTTGAGCTGTCTGGAGGTGGAAAAAGTGAAGAGACCCTCAGGTAGGAGGAGGTCTCGGGCAGGGTGTAAAACCAAAAGAAAAGTAAACGAACAGAGAGGGAGAATATAAATGAAGCTCGACACGTGAACAGGACAAAACAGAGACGAGCGTTGAGAGACACTTTTGTAGTTTTTCTTTAATTATTTGTTGTGGGTCCGGTCGACCGACGAGGTGGGGGAGGGGAATAAAGGGAGAGCTCTGCACCTGCGCACTGTGAGGCAGCTGGGAGGACTCATCCCGGAGGACAGACGCTGCGCGCCTGCGCACTGTGAGGGAGCTGGGAGGACTCGTCCTGGAGGACACCTCTCGGAGGACCGAGGGTCTGCGCCTGCGCGCTGTGACTTGAATCTCCCCCTCGGCTGAGGCTTCGACTCCGCCCCCACCTTTCTGCCAAAGAGCCACCTCGTTCCCGCAAGAGGTGACGCCCTTGGAGGAGTGAGCCCCTCTGTCTGGGAGGACTACCAGCACATGCAAAGGGAAAATAAGGAGTGGGAAGGGAGAGCAAGCTTTTGTTCTTTGGTTTTGTGGCTTGGCCCAAGCCTTGTACCTTTCCACTCCCCATCCTCCTCATCTGATAGCTAAGCCTGTGGAAGGAGAAAGAAAGGGTCCCCCTAAATCCATAACTTAGGCAGACAGGCGCTATTGAACTGCGTTTCCCCACCTTTCGATTTTCCCCCGTTTCTTGCCCCCCAACACTCTTCTGAGCGCCAATCCCGACCCGAAACGTCGTCCTTCCCGCTCCTCTGACCCGCTGCGTTCCTCCAGCTCCACGCTGTCTCGTCTCCGACGCCAGCATCCGTGAGGGCCTGGACTGTTGCACACCACCTTCTGTAGTTTCTTACGGCCCTGAGCAGAGCAGTTGCCGTTCCAGGCTGTTTTGCAACCAGATGTTATGCTTTCACCGGTGCATCTGTAGATGTTGGTGAGGGACCTTATGGACATGCCAAGTTTCAGACTGTTTGGGCCAGGATAATGAAAGTTTCCATGCTGTACGTCTCAATGACACTAGTTGGGACTAGATAAATTCCAGCAGTCTGGTCAGCATGGACGAGTTGGACCGGAGGAGTCTCGTTCCGTGCTCTGCAACTCTTCAGTCGGGACTGAAGTCGGCCATTCAGCCCCTCCGCCATTCAGTGGGATCATGGCCAACACAACCATCCTTGTCCTCTTTGCCCATGTCAGAATCGATCTTCGCCCAACTGCTCGGGAATCCGTCTGAGTCAGCCTTTGGTACCCACAACCTTCCGAGAGAAGAAATCCCTTCACGTCTCGGGGAGCGCATGGCCTCTCAGTCCACACCTTCTATCACTCCACAGAGCTTACGGTTTGCCACGCTGTCGCGTATTCCCACAGTGGCTCGGTGGTTGGCACTGACTCCTCACAGCGCCAGGGACCCGGGTACGATCCCACCCTTGGGTGACTGTGTGGAGTTTGCACATTCTCCCCATATCCGTGTGGGTTTCCTCCCATAGTCCAAAGATGTGCAGGTTGGGGTGAATTGGCTGTGCTAAATTACCCATAATGCCCAGGTATGTGTAGGTTAGGATGGGTTGGCCGTGCTAAATTACCCATAATTCCAAGGGATGTGCAGGTTAGGGTGGATTGGCCGTGCTAAATTACCCATAGTGCCCAGGGACGTGCAGGTTAGGGTGGGTTGGCCGTGCTAAATTACCCATAATGCCCAGGGACTTGCAGGTTAGGGTGGATTGGCCGTGCTAAATTACCCATAGTGCCTAGGGATGTGCGGGTTAGGGTGGATTGGCCGTGCTAAATTACCCATAGTGCCTAGGGACGTGCAGCTTAGGGTGGATTGGCCGTGCTAAATTACCCATAGTGCCTAGGGACGTGCAGCTTAGGGTGGATTGGCCGTGCTAAATTACCCATAGTGCCTAGGGATGGCCAGCTTGGGGTGGATTGGCCATGCTAAATTACCCATGGTGCCCAGGGACGTGCAGGTTAGGGTGGGTTGGCCATGCTAAATTACCCATAATGCCCAGTGATGGGCAGGTTAGGATGGATTGGTCGTGGGAAACGCAGGGTTACGGGGATGGGTCGGGTCAGGGGGTGGAATGCTGTTTGGAATATTGGTGCAGACCCATTGGGCTGAATGGCCTGTTGCCATGCTGTCGGGATTCAATTCGGTGAGCCAAGCCAAACACGTACGGCACAGGGGCGGGATATTATTTCCATCCCATTCGAAAGGGGGCGAGTGTTAAAAGTTGGGGAGGGTGCGTGGGAATCGAACGCTGGGGTTCAATGACACCATGCTGTGTTGTGGATTTAGGGGTCGGCGTTGCTGAAAGACGCATCATTCCTGACCCACGTCTCTTCTCCCTCTCTCTCTCTTTCCTCCTGCACGCCCATTGCGCGCACGCCTAACCCCCCCGACCCGCCCACCCCCACCCTGAGCTCCTGAAGGAGGGGCCTGACCGGTCTCAGATTTGGGAAGCAGCCCGCCTCCAGCGGGGAAAGATGGCGGCCAGGAACATCGGGCGCCTCGTGGCGAAGTCCTGCGCGCTCTTCCTGTGCGACATGCAGGAGAAGTTCCGTCCGACCGTGGCATATTTCCCCCAGATCGTCTCCGTCGCTGCCAGGATGCTGCAGGTAGGAACGGGGGGGGGTTGGGTGGAGCGGCGATTGAGGAAAGGATGGGGAGAGAGGGAGAGGGACAGAGATGGGGGGGGTGCGAAGTGGAGGGGGAGTGAGAGAGACGGGGGCATGTGGGGGGGGGG